GTTTTAATTGGTCTTTCCGTTGGGGACAAATTAATTGTTAAACAGAAAGACCAGTCAAAAAGTTTCATCCCTCCGACGTTTATTCAAATATAGTTTCGTTGAGAAACTTTCTTTAGTAACAGAAAACAAATTGAAGAAAGATATATCGATTCTTAAGATAAAGGATCGATTCAGAAGAATGAAACAACATAGAATCGATTCAAAAGAACGATTTTTTAACCACCATTAATGTGAATTATACGATAGCATAATAATGATTGAAAGCTTGATTAAGTGTATTGTATTGTTAACAAAATGATTAAACTGCTAATAGAGGGAAGAAGTTTCCGTTTACATTCAGTCTTTAGAAAGTTTAAATATTGGATATTTGCTTAAGCATTCTAGAAAGATACCGCCAACTGTACCGTAACTATTATCAAGCTTAAGCGACTTAGAGACTTAGGCAAAGAACACTTGGAATCGGGTTAAGATCGATAGGACTTGTAAAAGCTTCGACCAAACGGCTTCTTCGGCAGTATAATATTCTGTTCCGTAAAATTAATCGACTAACATAATTGTAATAATATTTTATCCATATTTAAAATAACCAATTATTGTTACATTTGCATACAAGTTTATTGTATGAGAAAGTATTCGTTTATAACAAATTGGAAGTTGTGTTGGAAGCGTTTGAGCAATAGTGTACAGAATCGGAACGAACCTATAGATTCATCGACTGATCCAGGATTAGAAATTACGAAACATTCCCCTCCCACCCCGTGTGTAGCCGTGGGATGTTACGCGTTCATGGAACGGCGGGTTACCGCCGCTGCTGTAAACGCCTTCATTGTCCCAGAATTCCGTGATCGATAATCGACATAACAGCCGGTGCTCGGTGCGCGGTCGACCGAATCGTCGAAACCCTCGAATCCGTCTTGGGACACCGTTAATCGGATCGCCGACGAGAAAAATAGTTACGAAGGATTAAGCGTGCTTGTCGCTCGACAAACCGTAATCGGATATTACAATATCAGATTATTGGCCTCCGATAAGGAAAAGCGGGAGGGGGGAGGCAGAGATTAAGAAATAGAAGTGGAGAATGGGGGGAAACGCTTAACGTCGAACTTTCCGCTCGAAACATTTCAACCGAATCGGTTCTTGGTAATATTATTAATTTTAATACCGTTTTATTCGAATCGTGGGAATACACGTGTAGTATCTAGGGAATTATTGGAATTTTTCAATTTAATTTAATAGAATCTAGTTAGGTGTTTGCATGGAAATGTAATCTTTTGTGTAAATCTGAATTGTGTGGTATAATGACAGTGAATTAAGTAATTTAGAATTATTGAAGTTAGATTGAAATTAATATTAAGAAAAATGTGAGAACGTAGATCTCCAATCAATGTAGATGATAGGTTTATTTAACCCTTACAGTACCTTATACATATAACCTTTATAGTACCTTATCGTTTACGCGAGTGTCTTGAAACTGCTGTACACCATTTTGAACATCGTGTCAATTAAGGTAAATTATATTTCCTTAATATTTCTTTGGTTTAGCAGAAAACAAATTATTATGCATTCCGAATTCGTCTCAGTATCCTTTAAAGGATGGGCGTAAAACAGTTATAGGTTCATCTATAAAAAAACTGAAAATGACCTCAAAAACTCTAGAAAAAAAGGGTTGACAAAAAATTTGGTACAATCATTTTAAAGCTCTCATCAAATAGCTAGCAGTAGAATAATCTAAGCTGCTCACGTTCCATAGTCCATCCACTATAATTTTTACGAAATATCAGACATTCTTCGTACCGACCAATCGTCTTATTACTTACAAGCCAGATAGTGTATGTAATTCCATCTTCTTCACCGGACACATCCTCCAGCGAACAAAAAAGAAGAGAAAAAAAAAACGAAGGCAAGATAAAAGACGTCGATCGATCCCCGTTATTAATATTTAACCGTGTTCCGTTAAGTAGAAGTCACACACGCCACTTTGCCCTCCCATTAGCTTCTTTGAAGGTTTTTGCACTGACCTGACGTAACACGCAAGGGCTCGTAAGACTTTTCTTGCCCGCCCTTTGTGCGGTCACGCTATCCCGGTGTCCCGTGTCCCTCGATGATCGATCGATCGTGAAATATCCGGGTGTCGGGCAAGGTTCCCGGCCGGAAAATAACCCCCGTAACGTAGTCTGGTGTGTGTAGGGTCGCGCTCGTGTACAACCGTCAGGGGGAGAGTACGACTTTGCTTTGTGCGAGACGACACATCGCGGGAGTGGAGGGAAAAGAGCCGAGCGTCTGACGGTAGGGGAGGACGGATTTATGCGAGCACGCGTGTAACGGCCGATTATAAAATTTACGCGACGAATTAAATGTTATTACGCGGAAGAGAAGCGCCTGCGAACGTTTTCTTCTGGCGCGTCGCTGATACCGACACGCTTGAGGTATGGCCGCGAAGATAGCGGGCGAACGAGCAGGTTAACACGGTGTCCCCAGGCCTTGTGCTTCGACGAGTTTTGCATCGGCGTGTGCAGACACCGACTTGGGTGGTGAGATAGTACCACTGGGAAAATGGGTTGATTCACGCGTAATGGAATAACGAACAGATTTATACGGTGACATTTTTCGTCTTCTTTTTTGTACACGGTACAAAGAAATGGTATGTCAGGGTTCAGATCGGTGATTCTGCAGTTATGCATTTGACGAAGGTTTGTTGGGAAAATGTATGGGAAAATACGAGGAAGTTATTGTTAACCCTATCGAGCATATACCCCTCATGGAAAGATAACATTTTGTTAATGACAAGTATACTCGTCATTAGATAGAAAAAAATTGCATTGGCTGGTTGAAGTAATAGTTAGGTAGAACAAAAGAAGAACATGGAACCGAAGAAATCACTCGAGAGAAGAGATATGTGCCGCCAGTATATGTACGAGGGATGTTTTATAAGGCAATTACTTTCTTTTGACGTAATTTTGTCATTTTAGTGGAATTTGCTGTAGTTTTGTTGGGTATACTTGTCGTAGCTAAAAACTTATTAAGCACGCAAGTGCACATTTTAAAAATAAAATAAAACAGTTAAAGGGTTAACGGCAGCTAGCATCATACCACTTTCCATGTTTAGAATTATGAATATCAGTAGAACCATCGACTAATAGTCAGACATGGAATCTTTGTATGTTTTGCAATTTATTTCTCTTGTTAACACATTATCTGAAGGTTAGTATTTAATAGATTTAGTAGATCTAACGATCAACAGCCAAGGAACTATTATTAAACAGTTCAATCACAGTAGAAAATTATATTCATGGAAAATATCAAAAATTGTAATAGACTAACGTAAGAATTTCTTCTGAAACCCTGATATAAGGTTAATATTTAAGGGCTTCCTGTCCATAAACACTGAAATTTAAAAGACTGTTAATAGGCTACACTGTACATTCAATTATTCTGAAATACAAACCTCTGAGCGAGTTCTAGCGATATACAAGACCGGTTTCGAACGAGTGTTTGAATTTCGAAAAACGTGATACAATTTTTCCCTCACTTTACGGTACTTTTTACATCATAAGCAAACAGATCGCGATGAATCTTGAGAAAGCCCGAGCAAAAACCACCGAGACTGGTCGTTCACGAGGAACAGTTTGTTTAAATTCGTCTCTTACCGTCTTTCCTTTTATTTTTTTTTTTATACGACGAGATACCGGGGCGAGCTAGATCCTTCGACAAGTTGCCTCCGTTTAAACGAGCGCGTTTTATGTAATTGTGGAAATGGGGAACGGAAGACAAGACGTGGATACATAGACAATTATTGCTCGTCGAGGTATTCCCGTGTATTTTCCCCGTTCCTTCGGTCGAGATTATTTTTATTACGCCCGCCAACGTCTGGGACTTACGCTCAAGGGCGTGCATTATCTTCTCTGTGGTCTGATCTGCCTTCCAATTTCATTCAACAACAACCCTTGCAATCTGTTCGTGGAAGTGTTTGGAAGACAGTGTGCTAACGTGATTCGTATAAATATTCTATTTTAAGGTAATCATCTTTGTTATATCAGTATATTGTGATCACTGTATCGAATAAAATCATATTACAAGAAAATAGAGGGACGTTTATGGAAATTCTTACTTTCATGGACAATTTTCTGTAGAACAGAGTCATTAAACAATTTATTATAGGTAACTTGGTTTTATTTATCCACCGTTAACGGTCATCGAACCCTTCGGATGCTTCGTGAATAGGGGCGTGTCAGTAGAATACCATTACCAATGGTCAGACCAAAAAATCGTACACAGTATATACCTATTAATTCCACCACATTAACCCAGCTGTTCTCGAATCTGTATGACCGAAAATGAAGACTATATTTCAGTAGGTATTATGTCTTTAAATATTTGTTCTTAACATTCAACCTACATAAACTTTTCATCTACTTTTTGTATATTTCCGATTTCTCAACAAATATTTAGTGCAAGAATACAAATAACGTGTATGACTCTGTAAGACTTTATTTAATCCCCAAAAACTTCGATCCATTAAAAAAAACTTTACTCAGACTACTCACTCGATCCCTAAAACTTCCACTCTAATTGACACGTAAACAAGCCTTCATCCAAACTGCTTAGTACCCACCCAATCCCCAAACCTGGCAACGATCCCTCACCATCGCGTCACGCGTTCGATCATCCGCGACTCCCTGGAATCGCGTCGCGAAATCGATGCCCAACGTTCAGGCGCAACACAGTCGTGACCCGATCGGTGTCCGCTTTCACGCGTCCCGGTCACGATTTCAAAAGAACATCGCTTCGAAAAGAACTAAGAAAAACGCGAGAGAGCAACTAACAGAGATGAAAGCATAGCGGATGTGCTAGCTGCCTGGACAACTGAAAAGAGGAAATTCCAGGAGCCTGGCGAAACGCTTGAAGAGGGACGAGAAAGGGAGTAGGAGGGGTTCGAAGGGGGGTAGGGATTCAGCTGGCAGAAGGGGGCAACTTTCCCCGAGATGATCTTGTTTACGTACCAGGTATCGATTTACCGAGATCGAGGTACTCCCGCACAGAGGGACTGAGGAATCCGGGCGGCACGGCCGGAGCCTCGTTCGTCGGATTGTTTCTTTCGTCCACGTCCTCGTAGTAGTAGTCCTCGTTGTTCTCGTGGACGTCTTCGTCCGGGTCAACGGGTTTCGCTCTCTTCGACACCTTGCCACCCCCTTGATCCCCTCCGCCGCCTCCGGTGTCCCGCACGCCCTCTGAAACATGACACGAGGGTTGCTGTTTAAAACGCGAATCGATCCCCCAATTTGACGCAGCTGGGGTGAGCATCCTCCTTTTTCGACGAGTGGTCCTCTTTCGCGACGAGTGTCGCGTGTCCTCCCGACCTGGGACCGCTCTTATTCGGCGAACGGATTGGGGCTGTTGACAAGTGACTGGGAATTGATTTATCTTCGTTACCCCGTGTTTCACTTGGTATCGCGATTTTTAAGGACTAATTACGGTATAACATACACCCTCCTCGGTGAGTATTGAGCCTTGGAAGGTGGATGGTTTTGATGGTCATACAAGTAATTGAGTCTGGATCCATTTGACCCTCTAAATGCATTCTTGAACTATGTTTCTTTGAGGAATGCTAGCTTTTTTAGTAGTACTGATACAAATAACTGAAGAAGTACGGTTTAGTTAGCCTACGACCAGCTATTCGCGTTTACTTGACTGACACCTTGGGATCTTATTAATTGATGACTTTCTGTTACATTGAATTACTTTCTGTTACATTAAATTACTTTCTGTTGGACACTGTGGAATTCGTCTTAGCAAATGCTATCGTATTGCGAATGAAGACGTATAGTATTCTATTTAAAAAAATTAAGATGACCTTACAATCTCCACCACAAAATTATTTATACCAGTTAATGTCTCCCTGCGTACCAAATAACCTTTGTCAGAGCATTCTTTTGTTTTCGTGTCTAATACTACTTCCAAGTCCTTTGAAATGCTACAAAATTATGCCAGCACTCAGAGATATTATATGTAATTATTTAAAGAAAAAAAAACAATATTTGAACAGTTTGCAAGTGTCTTAAATAAAAATTACTGTAGAAAGAACGATAACATAGTTCAGATCTTAAACGATGAAAAGACGTACACTGTAAATTCCAGACCCCTGTACCTTCTGCGTCTCTCTCCGCGAATCTGATGGATCGCAAAATAAACAACTCATCATTTTGCTTTTAACACGACGTATCCACTCGCTCAAAAAACCCCCCAAGGTGTATGTTTTACCTGATGGGAGTTTTGTATCCCGTGTCGAGGGTTTCTCGTCCGAAACGCAGCAGACTTGACCCAGTCTCACGAATGGACCGCGAAAGTTGGCCCTCGTTCGGCGACGGGGACCACCGCTGCCATTAGGACGAAGTTCTCGCGAGACACACGCTCGGAGAACGAGAAAGAGGGTGAGCGCGTGAGACGGGTTTGGAAAGTTTTGCGGACGCGTCGCCGCGATTACGGGAACCGCAGGGTCGTGGTTAGCTGTTGCGTTATTCACGGCGGATTCGTGGCACAAGCTCGACCCCGCCGATTTGAACCTGACCCCACTTCTGCCCCCTCCGTTCCGCACTTTATTGAGGCGAACAGGTTCGGAAGTCTGCAGCTAATTAATTTGAGCTTTGTATACGGTTGTAGTTAAACATTTCCTCTGTTAGACAACCTGTGATTGCGTTCCACCTGCCCCCCCCCCTATCCTACCCCCTCTAGTCCCTTGAAATATTCAAAATTCCGAAATCGGTTAGGGTTACCGCAGTGCATTGCGAAACCTATAATCGCGTAGAATAGCATCGTTATTCGATCGATTCTTGCGTGCTGGTCGTGGATGTCGATTGACCGAACCGTTCCGGGTGTAGTTTAAAGTTTCCTGAAAATTGCTCGGATGTAGGTCTCTCGGGGGAGATCAAGTGGGATTTGGTGTGTTTGTAGAAATTTCGGAAACGGTGTTCGCTCGAATGCTTTGATGGTTATGAAAGTGAAGAAATTATTTAATTTATAAGTTTGTAAATTTTCAACAGTTTGTCATGTTTATCGATCGATCAAATCAGACATGCGTTTATCATCGGTAGCTCTAGTGTTAATTGTGATATTAACTCACCTCGAGTCAAAGAACGTCTAAGTACTTCTCGGAACAGAACACGTCAAATATATCGGTGCAGTGATTAATGTTTCACCACCGTACAAAATATTGCCTCACGTGTGCTCGTCTAGTGCCGTGGCGAAGATTAATTTCGCAGCGTGGTGTCCAACATCGTTACTATAAACAATTTTCAACGTACGTCGCAGACAATTATTGGCCATTCATCATAATTTGTAAGTCCGGGGGCAGGGTAGCGCGCGATGTCCATATACGAATTAATCCGCTGCGTTTAGACGCATAAAGTTCGGATGGTCGATGAGCCGTTAATTAGCTTCCCCGTCACGGACGCACCGGTATCAAATGGGATGAACGCGGGATCGTATCCACCTTTCCTGCCGAAGTAACACGTACACGACAATGCGCGCAAACAATACACTCTAGAGCCCGGATTCCTCGCGAACTAAACGGATCTATGCGATTCACTGCCATGAATATGCTTGAATTGTTTAGAAAAAGAAAAAAGAAAATTGTTAACCTTCTTATTCTTGGTGCTTTTCGAAGTCACTGTCGATGATTGTACGAGGAAAAGTTTCAAGGGTATCCTAGATATTCCCATAGTTCTCGATGTATGACGTTCGAACGATCTCGTACGAGTGTGTGGAATAAGTTCGCAGTTAAAATGTAATTTCTTTTATTCGACTGATTTGGATGTCTTCGAAACTTTCACCTGTCGAGAACAATAGGAATATGAGACGTCTAGAAATGACAACTTTAAAATTTCCTGCCTTCACACGCGAGCCAATTCGAATTAGTACTGAACTTTTAAGATTACAATAATTTTCACGTCATCTCTGATCTTGTTAAGAAAAGAACACCGAGAACACGTTGAAAATATTTTTAGAAACACCCTATATAAAATATACTCCCATGAAAGCAGAATGGGAGACATTCTTATATTACATGTAACTACAATTTCTTCGTGCGATATCGATATTTTCCGACGGAATACTCGTTGTTCGATCGTTCGTGTGCACTTTTAACAATTCAATTACCAGATGGAAAGATCCAGTCGATAAATTAATGAATCTCGGAACAGAGGTATCCTTTGCATTCGCTCGAACATTTTCGACTGCACGAGCAAATTTGAATTCGTCGGTCCATCAAGGCTCGCGTTTCGCTCAAGAAACCATCGCAAATTCAAAATTCAATTATCCCTTGTTTCATTACTGTTTGCGCGCTGCGCCTGTCTGGGCGATCGATATACCACGGTACAGAAAAAAAAAAGGCAGCTGTTTCAACGGCACCCGAAATTAGTCAAAAACACGCGTTTCATTTCCGTTTTCCGAAGTGTTCCGACAGTAAGCCGGCGCCGCCGTTGCGCGTTTCCTTCGTTAATTAACGACCGTTTAATTACCCGGCTGAAATTGGGTTGCCGGACGGAGAACGATGATTCGTAAATTGCCCAATTTTACGGCGGACCACGCGTCGCGCTTGTACATTGTTGTTCCATCGTCGAGTGTATCGTGATACTTCAGGATCTTAAATTGACCACAGAATGGCTCGAGGACGATTTTTAGTGTTACATTTACCTGGATGATTAAAACAATGACTACTTTTGTAGACAATACCCTTATAACACGACGTTCCCATAACACGGATAAAGAATTAGGGAAACCCCTGAATAACACGGTATTCATCAATACAGTTAAAGAAGTGTGTAGAAAACACTATGTGGCATAACTACAAAACCACCCTATAATTTTCAATTAGTTAAAATAAAAACGAACCTCGTGTCCTATGTCTGAAACCGTGTTGAGAAATAATGTTCCATCACAAGAGGTTAGATTATATTCCCTAGAAAAAAGTGGTTCGTTTCTACTTTAACCACGTTACACAAGGACTGAAAATTTTAAGGTGGTTTTATAGTTATGCCACGAAGTGCAGTGTAGCTTTGTTATCTTTTAAAACCTAATCCTGTTTTTTGTATGTATGTACATTAATTCTTAGTTTCGTACAACAGGGAAATTTTTAAAAACTTAACTACATACCGTGTTTTACATAGATTACCTGTATTTTTAAAAATTTAACTTAATGTCTGAAAAGTTAACGAAGTTACCTAGCTTTGAACCCAAGAAGTTTCAACCAAACGACGCCAAGTCTGTTTAGTCTCATTTGCCCTCTGTCAAAATCGCAAGGATTCCAAAACTCCATCATAAGTCGTTTAAGACTTAACGAGCGACAGATCATCTTCCTTCGACTTCACTTAAAGCTCGTTGACGCTAACATCCATGTTCTCTGTCCATGTTTCCATCTTTCATGTATAACGTCAGTCTTCTTTGAGTACCCTGCACGCTCGAACGATTAAAGACAAGCATTTTATAATTTATTTTGGACGATGGCTCTCCAACTTGACAAGAGCTTGTTTCTAGATGGGGTCTGACGATCGAGTCCCGAAATTTGTCCACCATTTACACGGAACCACGTTAATTTTGTTCCGGTCGGGGGGGGGGGGTCAGGGTCGATACTTTCGCCGGTAGAAAGCGAATCACTGATAATTATTTGTCGTTCGGCATAGCTGCCGAGTAATTACACGTGTTTGTTCGTGGCATTTAATACGGCAAGTATTATTTGATTTCACGTGCCTACTTACTCACGCGTGTTTTATGGAATTTGGTAGAATAATATGGTGCTAACAAATTGTCCAGAATATATGTTTATAACAAAAAAAGTTCGTATCGAAACTTCGAGGGGTGGTTTCACCCCTTAAAGTCGCGTCTCAGCCGATAAAAAAAAATATGTATTCCGTATTTTTGACAGCTTAACGGACATACGAAGTTTTATCACAATCGGAGGGGGACACTTGCCTTGTCAGTGAAACTCATTTTGTCCTCCTATGTTTCTCATGAAACCTCTAAAGAAATCAGCTTGGTAACACGAGAGGGTTTTGTCGTACGACATAATTGTATCAAGAATCTGTGATTGTCTTCCCATCAGCGGTGTGTATTAGCCACGTATCGAAGTAGGGACACTCCGTGCACGTGTCGAAGGGGTGGAGATTCGCCAGGATTCGTTTCAGTGTTGTCCCCCCAAACAACGCACAGTACTTTTCAACTTAACTTCCTTCCTCAGCCGTTCGTGCTCGGATTAAAACATTCATTGTGTACAACAGGAGATCGGACGACGGTGACCGGGCGAAAATTCG